GAAGGACGGCCTGAGCCGTGCGGACCAGCAGTACGAGTGCGTGGCGGAGATCGGGGAGGGCGCCTATGGGAAGGTGTTCAAGGCTCGGGACCTGAAGAACGGAGGCCGTTTCGTGGCGCTGAAGCGCGTGCGAGTGCAGACCGGCGAGGAGGGCATGCCGCTGTCTACCATCCGCGAGGTGGCGGTGCTGAGGCACCTGGAGACCTTCGAGCACCCCAACGTGGTCAGGTGAGCCGCGGAGCGGCGCTCCCGCCGTCGGGGGCCTCGCGTCGGGGGAGGGCCGGGCCGGGATGCGCGGGCCCACGGAGATGCTGGGCAAGGGGGCGGCAGGGGAGGCAAGGAGCGACCCGTTGACCTTACAGAGTGAGAGTAAGTTTTGTTGACAGTGCCACGAGCCAGAGCCGGTGACCTTGCCGGAGAGCCAGCAAAAAGACAAATCAGAAACTCTGACTGGGCGCAGGCTTCTCCCGCCGTTGTGCGGGTTCTAAGTGTTTTCTCCTTACCCGCCCTGAAAGGGGTCCGGAAAGATGGTTACCTTTTAGAGACAGAAAAAGCCAACCTGAGACGCGCCCTGCCAGCCCCCGCATATTTTCCTTGGCCATTAGGGGACTTTTTGAGAGACTGAGAATGAGTGACAAATAGCAGGATACGGTGATAATTAGTAGGAAGAAAACTTTACTGGTGTGGCCTAGTATAAATAAGGTTTTAAAATACAGGAACTTTTAGGTATAGTGTTGCCAGTCACACCTACAGTTTCTCTTTATTAGTGGTGCATGATGGTAAGGTCCCCTGACTGTCTAAGGACTTAAGTGCTGATGCCTAGCTTGTGTCATTTAGGAAATTTCTTCCAATAATATTACCTATTTGTCTGTGTTACTTTCTGTCTCTGGCGAGCAGTCTCTGGACTACTTTTCCAAAGGGTTAGACATGAATCCAGGATGTGGAATCTTTAGATTCTTAAGTGTTCTCTCCCCCCCCCCCCCCAATTTTCTGGGTCCGTTGTGCTAGTGCGTGGAGAGGCAGCAGTTCTTAAAGCCTCTCTTGTGTGGTAACAAGTATTAGACCAAAGTGTGTGTGACTTAGGATAATGGTGTTTTCCTAGTGATCCTGGAATTTCCCCATTGTGTGTTTGACTTTGTGTAGTGTGTCATCCTTTTCTTTTCTAAACAGAGATTCTTAGTTTTAAGTTGAAGAGGAATGTCCAGAAACTGCTACAACTTAGAGTGTGATTTTTACCTTTCTCAGCTCTTAAGATAATGTTTTGGAAAAAGGAGGTCTTGAGGTCTTTCTCATGTCTTCTCATCCAACTGGGGGTTCCATTCAACAAAACGTGTCTACTACTGTATATGTGCTGTGGATGAAATTATCTAAGCACCTCTAAATATTTTTATAAAAAGTCAAACAATTTAACATTAGTCATCGAAGTGGAGAGACCCAAGACTGACCTTTGAAATACCAAGCCCTCTATAAACTCAGGGAGCCCAAGTGTCTACAGAATCTTCCTGAGAAGTTTCAACTTGTCTCCCCTTATCCCAGGCTGGGTGATTTGTGTGGTGCTTTGTTCCTGACACAGTTAGACTCGAGCTAGAAGACAGCAAAGAATCATAAATGCATAAAAAAGGTAGTAAACAGCTATAAAGATAGGAGCCCTTTATACCTCTACTTCAGCCAGTGAAGGAAAGAGGAACAAAAGATGCTGAGACTCAGAGAAGACATGCTTTAGGAAGATGGGATTATATATAAAAGCAATAGATAACCTTTTGTGTGTATGTTTTCTTGGTTGAAAAACAACAAAGACCCTTTTGGGGAGCCTTTGTGATCTTGGTGGGAGAAGGGAAGGGTACATTTTGTCCCCCTGTAACTTCATTATCTTCCTAGAGGAATCACCTAGGCACTTCCCAAAGGATGAATTCCACTAGAATTGTAGGTCCAGAATTCTTCTTTGATTTTGTCTGTTACCTATGGATAGTGTGCAGTTAAGGGTGACTATCTTGTGTGTAAATAAAACCATCCCTTCCATTTGTAGGGGTTGCAGAAACACCCCTGTGTAACACTATCATTTTCAAAGCACAGTCTATTCTTGTAACAGAAGAAGGTGGTTTTTGCCATTGTGCTGGTCGATTTTGACTAATCCATCTTACTCTCGTGGATTTACACTCTTGAGACTGGTGTCTTTATAGATTTCGAACTGACACATGACTTGGATTCTGTACTGAGAAATTTCAGGAGGCTATACTTAGGAATTGATGGCAAAAGCATCATATTTTTAAAGCTATTTTCACATATTAAGTGGTGATGATGACACCTACCTCTTAAGAATTGTGAGGAGAAACTGAGATAGTGTATATGAGAACACTTTGTAAATTTAAGAGTACTTCAAACGTCCAAGTATTATTTGTGCTTAGGCAGATTAGTGGGGCCCTTGCCTCAGAGCAAGTTCCTAGAAGGCAACAGTTCACCTGACTTTTCTTACGGAACAAATTATACTCAAACCCAGACACTCCAGGCTCTGGAACCAAGAAGCCACTTCAATATAATGAGCCTGTAGTTTGTCAGAGAAGACCATCAGTCATATGCCATGAAATTCAGTGACACTTGAGAAAATTATTAATGATGTCATCCTCACGAGCTCCAGATCTCCATTCCATTTTGTTTCCTTCCTGTTTCTTCTCTTCTGCTTCTGCCTTGGGGCAATTACTGGCCCCTATGAGTTGCTTAGCTAGAATAGGAATTTCTTTAGAGGGTGCTGATATCTGTTCAGGCAGGATCCAGAAATCAGGGACGAGTGACAACAATTCTTTTCCGTCCAAGGGAGAGTTGTCAGAGTTGGGCCCTCAAACCTGTGATTTATTGTTGCTCCACAGGATCAGTTTTACAGTCCCGTGGCTGGTTCTTTAAAGGTTTCTTAAAAGGACAGATGCCAATATAAGTGCCTTCAAGACGTAAGTAATTGATCATAATTATAGGCCCTTCCCATAGATAGTTAAGCCCCTAAGCTTGAAGGAGCATAATAAACATACTAATTTTTCAAAAGTTTAAGGTTTAATTTTGATGGATTTGCCAGAAAAGCTGTCTTGTTATTGCTGGCACTGGCACTGCCTGCATGCACAGGGATATGACTTGAAATTCTTGCTTACCTGTGCTTGATGTATCCCAGGCCCAGGCTTGATTAGCCAGTCAGTGTCTGGGATGTAAATTTACTTGTATTTTACAGTTGGTAATTCCAAATCCCGGAGATTGCCAGAATCACACTTCACTATTTACCTATATTGGAGCTTCTGCACTGGACAGATGAATCCTGTTTTATGTTTTGAATTAAATATATATGTAGATAAAATAATAACATGTTTTATCACCAGTCTGTTCATTCACCTGATATTTATTGAGGGCCCACTGCTAGCCAGACTCTGCTGGAAGCTGGGGATACAGCAATGAACAAGTCATAAAAGTCTCTGCACTTCTAGAACTTACCTTGTAATGGAATGAGCAGTTCTTTTCTCTTTAAAAATTCACTTCTCTTTACTTCCACTGGCTTGTTTTGCTATATTTAACCTAACTAGTTTTTTAGAGCAACTAATACTTGTGATAATTTGGTTACCGTGAATTTGCTGACTGAATAAATAACCAAAACACTAATCAGAATCAGATACTCTTTGAGGATTAAATTTCACCTTAGGGACATACAATTAGATCTGTATAAGAAGACATTGATACGTAAGTAACAGATATGAACGTTGAAGCTCCATTTATTCAGCAAGGATTCAGAAAGGACCTACTGTTTAAAAACCATGGGGTTAGGTGCTGGCAAAGATATTTGGGTAAATCATACCTGGCTACTCCTCTCAGGTAATTCTCACTGTATTTGAAGGAATAAGATGATCACCATAACCCTGACGTGTAGTGTTGTGTCATTACAGAGGTACTGGTGAGTACTACCAGTGCTGTCCCCAAGGATTAAATTTTTTAGTGTAGCAGTAAAAGTAATTAAATTCCGGAAGCTAAAACTCATGACATTTCAGTGAATAAACTTGTGGTGTCTAAATATGCTAAATTATTATTGTAGGCATATGTAATCACTGCTTTAAAAAAACACAAAAATCCATGTAGCTCAATGATTATTATTCAAGGAAAGTTTTCCTATTTTCTCTTTTTAAAGGTCTAAGTAATATATATCATATAAAGAATAAAAATAAGATTTTCTTTAGGAAAACCTAATTATTGACAGGGTAGAACAACACGGCATATGATTTGTTGCAGCATAAGGACAAGTCCTCAGGTGGGTTATTTCACGGGCATTGTTCTGAATAAAAGTGTTATTCTGTAGATGGATAATATGTTTATTAGAGGTTGTTTCAGTGAAAGTGGGAAACACAAGAGTTTGTCTTTTTAAGTGTCAGTCTGTTGAAAGTATGTTTGGTCCTTCATTCTCTAAGAATTCTGTGAAGTTTCCAATTTATTGAGGTTATTTAGTAAATGAGCATTTTCACAGTGGCGTTCTGCCCATTCCTTGTTCCTGTGGAAGGACATGGTACTGCTGAATTGTTGCCATTGGTTGCAGTATATCCTTTTACACAACTGTTATCACCGTGGAATTATTAGAATTTCTCTATCAAGGAGAAAGTGGCTTCTAAGAGGGAAACTTGTATAAACCTGAATATCTTTTGTTGTATTTTCCTGTGTTTAAGAGATAGGTAAGTAGACATCTATGAAAACAGACTCCCTGTTGAAAGTAAATTACCTTTAAAAAAATATACCTCACTGTTGATGATTTCCTAGAAATGTTTTTTAAGAACAAAACATCCAATTACTAGAGTTGGAAGACACTTTGGAATTCTTTCAACCCTTTTATATTATAGGTAAAGAGATTAAAAACCAGAGGTCAAACAGCTTGTCTGTCATATCATTTTAAAGTTATTGACTTCTCAAAAAATTAAAAAATAAAGTTATTGACTTCTCTAAAATCTGAGTAGCAATTTTGAAATAGTTCTTTTTGTTTGATGGAAGAAGTTAACTCAAGTGAGTACATTTCTAGTTTGGAAAAAATGAACTATATGTAGACAAAGGTGATGGCTTGCCAGGAATAAATGACATATCAACTCAGGAAATTCCTGAATTCTGCAGTATGCCTTACTGAAGTAAATTTGTAAAAAATGTGATGATTATCCATTAAATTTTGTTTTTAAGGAAATTGGGTAATAACTATGATCATTTAAATAGCTATAGTTAAG